CCATTACCTTGGAAAAACAATTCAAAATGAAATCCTACAGATACCGGCAACAAAAGTCAAACAGAAGATTGTGGCAGAAGGAAGTCAGCAAGCTATAATTCTGGACTGCACACCTGACATCAGCCATACGGAACAAATGACTTTAATGGTTCATTTTGTAACAACAATAGAATCTAGTGAAAATGTCCCTACAATGGTGACTGTCAGAGCATTTTCCTAGAATTTATTGACATTGATGGTACTACAGGAGCTAGTGTGACAAATGTGCTTCTTAAAAAGCTGGAAGATACAGGAATTGCGATAGCTGACATGAGAGATCAGGGCTACGATAATGGTTCCAATGTGAGAGGAAAGAACAGAGGAGTGCAGACACGGAACTGAGAGTTAAACCCTCGAGCTTTTTTTGTCCCATGCAGTTCTCGTTCACTGAACTTGGTGGTCAGTGATGCAGCATCAGCCTCTAGTGAGGCTGCTAGATGCTTTGAATTACATTAAAAAATTTGTGTATTTTCTCTGCATCAACTCATCGATGGCAAATTTCAAAGCAACATCTGGGAACATCCTCTCTGACCCTGAAACTACTGAGTGCCACACGATGGGAAAGTCGAGTGGAGGCGATAAAGCCTATCAAACTCCAAATTGGGAAGATCGATGATGTCATGGTTGCCATTATGGAGGATAATGCTATGACAGGAACTGTTTGTGGGAGAACAGTGGCAGAGGGAAGTGGAATCACCAGAAATATACATAACTTCAAATTTCTATGTGGCTTAGTGTTGTGGCATGACACTGTTTGAAATAAATGTTCTAAGCAAGAGACTCCAGGGTGTTGACTTTATATATCTGGAGCAATGGAACAACTGGACGAAGCAAAGTCATACCTACAATCTTACTGGTCAGATGAGGGATTTCGAAACGTTCTGAAGAGTGCACAGAAGTTGGCAGAGGAACTTCACACTGAAGCTATTTTCCCACCCATTCAAGAATACAAGAGTCACCGAAGAAGACGACATTTTGATTACGAGGCACAGGATAATCCCATAAGAGACTCCAAACAACAATTCAAAGTTGAATTATTTAACCAGGTGCTAGATTGTGCCATACAGTCAGTTGAAGAATGTTTCATGCAGCTCAAGGAACACAGCAATATATTTGGGATGTTGTATGATATTCCAAAACTCCTCACTATACCTGAAGAAGACCTACACCAGCAATGCAGGGCACTAGAGACAGTGTTGACACATGACATGCGCAATATTGATGCGAGTAATTTAGGTGACACATTTCAGCAGGATCAACTCCAAAGGCTGTTCTGGGATATATGTGCACAAATAAGATGAGCACCCTCTTTCCAAATACTTTTGTTGCTCTGCGCATACTTCTAACACTTCCTGTAACAGTTGCCAGTGGAGAATGCAGCTTCTCCAAGCTGAAGTTAATAAAAACACATCTATGCTCCACAATGACACAGGAGAGGCTGGTCAGCCTTGCAACCATCTCAATAGAGTATGAGCTGGCCCAGACTGTGGACCTTCAGGAAGCAGTTCAAATCTTTGCAACTAAGAAGGCAGGGAAAGCACCACTTTGATTACTCAAACAGATAAAAATGCCAGTGTTTACTATGCAGACAAGAAAAGTAACATTTGCTGTTCAGGCATTTGAAAGTTAAGTGTTACTTAAAATTTTTGAACAAGGCATTTTAAGTTGTTAGTTCTCCTTTATTGGGGTAGGTAGCAGAGCAGTACCATGAAAGGAGTAGAACAGGAGGAAGGCAGAATTGAGACCTTTCAATGTTTTGGCCCAAGCGAGGGAGTATGGGGGTATCATTTGAGCTCCCCGCCTCAGGTGCCAAAATGTTGTGGGCCAGCCCTGCCCCCTAGTCACATGACATGGGTCAGGATTACATCTATCAAGTGACAGGGACCAGTGTCCCCTGATTCCTGTGGTGACTGTTATGCTACCTGACTGCTTTACAACACAATTCCTACAACTAAAAACCATTTTCCACAAATTTCTGAAAAATTTAAGAGTACCACACAACAAAAATGGCAGCAATCCTAAAATGTGCTAAATCACTTCGTTTACCCCATACAATTTTCTCCCTTTTCAACTACTGGCTTTTCAATTTAAAGATAGTTGTCAGTATTGCTATAATGTCATCTCAACTTTGCAGTAAAATGTCATCACCTAAATAATGATTTCAGCAGGCCTATAGGGGAATGCTGAACAAAATTAAACTGACATGAAAAAGACACTGACAAACATACGTTACAGGAGAAGTATAGGGTAAAACAGGGGTAGGCAACCTATGGCACAGGTGCCAAAGGTGGCACACAAGCTGATTTTCAGTGGCACTCACACTGCGCGGGTCCTGGACATAAGTCCGGGGGGCTCTGCATTTTAATTTAATTTAAATGAAGCTGCTTAAACATTTTAAAAACATATTTACTTTACATACAACAATAGTTTAGGTATATATTATAGACTTAGAGAAAGAGACCGTCTAAAAACGTTAAAATGTATGACTGGCACACGAAACCTTAAATTAGAGTGACTAAATGAAGACTTGGCACACCACTTCTGAAAGGTTGCCGACCCCTGGGGTAAAAGGTGGAGTGAGGGAATGTGCTGAGGTGTTATGGTAATACAAACAACAACCAGAGAGCAAAAGAGATTAAGACCCAGATTCTGCAGCTGACTCTGCATTGGGGAAGTTAATGGGTGGAATGGACAGAAGCCAACTGCAGGGTCAGCACCACAGTAGGATGGATATATAGATATAATACAAAAACAGCCCTTCCCATATAGGGTCAGATTCTGGCTCATTCTAAGGTCTTTTATGCCACTCCAAGTGGCCCTAAAACAGCCCTGAACAGCAGAGCCGGCTCTACCATTTTTGCTGCCCCAAGCGAAAAAAAACCCCCCAAAACCGCTCGGACTGCCCAAACCGCCGAAGCGCAAAAAAAAAAGCTGCCCGGACTCTGCCGCCCCAAGAATGGATGGAATGCCGCCCCTTAGCGTGTGCCGCCCCACGCACGTGCTTGCTCTGCTGGTGCCTGGAGCCGGCCCTGCTGAATAGGTAGCTGAGGATTTCCTCCTACATAAGGAAAATCCTAGACTGGTGCACAGTCAGACACCTGTTTATGTGAACAAAAGTCTCTCTCTCAAGGGATATAGGATCTGGCATTTGAAATCTTTTCAATTTCAAGTTTTATCTTTTAACTCCTACATTTGGCTTCCCCATGTTAATTGGATAGACATTATTTACAGATTTCAAACACTATAAACACTTTGATGGTTTTATATTATGAATAACTGCTAATATTTCAAACTTTGCATTTACTATAATTTAAAGTAGTCATCCCAATTATTTAGTGTTCCTTTAAAGATCATTTGGTATTGAGGAGGACAAAAACATATGGTTGCTAATTTAAATAATCATCCTCCTGCTGCTTCTCCAGATGCCATTTATTAGGACTGTGTTGTTCTTACAGTAGGAATATTTCATGGGATGTAGAGCCAAATAACAGCCATAAGAATTGTCTTTCGTTACAGATCAGAATATACAATATATCTTAATTAGGAGCACTGCATTTTAAATTTCCTTGCTGTCCTAGAAATGGCATTCAATGAGAGCAGGATAACTATCTCCATCACATCATTTCAAAATGGCAATTCTGGAGCATAATTTTCTTCAAATTATCACTATTCCACATCAACTCCCAGTGTATGTATAAGCACACAACACCGAGAAAATTGGAAAGGCTTATGCAGTACTTTTACACAAACTCTTTATGTAATCAAATGAGCTATTTGTTTCTGTGTGATGCTGTGAAACATCAGTAAAGTTTTTAAAATGCCCAGGTTTTTTTTCCCTCTCCTACTAGTTATTCCACCATACATCTTCAAGCAAATTGTAAAAAAAAAAAAAAAAAAAAGAACTTCCAGCTTTGAAATTGCAGTTTATCACAGTGGCAATATATGATGTACATTATTTGCCTATTGTAATACACTGAATGTCTGCCAAATAAAAAAATATATTTTAATTGTGGATTTGAAAATATGACAAAACCAGCAGGATTATTTTAAAATAGTTGATTTCCCTACTCAGTAAGATTTTCACACTGAATTCATAATGCAAAAGAGATGATATTAAATCGAAATATACTATCTTCTGTGTTCTTCAATATTCAAGTGACCTCATTCATTGCTTAACATACTTGAAACATTGGTGTTTCCAATAGGAGGGGGCTTATTAAGAATGTATAGTTTTAAAGCCAAATCAGTAGTGATGGACACCTGCCACTCCTTTTCCAAACTATTGGATTTTAAAGGGAAAAATGAAGAGAGGTTCTGAGTAAAGCTGGATGAAATTTTTCAGACAAGTAATTAGTTGCTGAAAAATGCAGTTTTGGGTAGCCCAAAACTATTCATAACTTCAGGGAATAATTATGGCCAAAAGAGAATTCTTTTTAAAAAAATTTGAAACATTTCATAACAATTTAAAGTACGGCATTTAAACTTTATTTTGAAATGACATTTTGAAAGTTAGCTAGATTTATTTTTTTAAAGAAGGGTAAAAGAAAAACCTGAAAACAAAATGAAACTAAAAAACTAATAAACAGAAAAATTATTATAGGCGGAACAAAACATTTTGTTCAACCTGAAAAGATTGTTTTGTTTTGTAGGCTCAGCAACTGGGCCAAAAAATATTTTATTTCCTCAGCTCTAGTTCTGAGTATCAGGATGGTGAACACCTCTCTGGAGTTAGGGCCTAAATCCAATGTACATTGAAATTAATGGGAGTCTTTCCATTGATTTCCGTGGGCATTGGATCAGGCTTTTGACCTTTTAATGTCCTGTACTATTTTAATAAGGATCAATATATGAGGTGAAGCAATAAGTTAGTTTGTTCCCTGTTTCCAGTTTATAAACATCACTGAGAATGAGCAGCGTAGAGGTTTGTTTATTTATTTATTTAGGCTTTTGTTTCTATTCAGGATGCAACAGGTTTTAATACTCCTCTTCTAAGACCTCGTGTGATTGGAGAATGGGTTGGTCGCGAGGAGAATGATGCTGATCCATTGGCTGCGGAGATGTTGCAACCTCTAGTACCAAGAAGTAAAAATGAACAATGGGATAGTGAAGATAGCAGCAGCAGTCCTGGAGGAAGGTGAGGTTTTGCTTTTATAGTTTAATGACTCCTGAAAATCTCATTACATAATTTTTTAAAACTTAGAGATTTTTTTGCAATGTCCAGTTTTAAGGATCAAGAATGTGAGGTGTATTATTTTCCATATACAGTATACCACGAACCAGGAAATATGTAGTAGGGATTTAATGATATTGGGCACAATACTGTAGATGCTTATGCACATGAGTAGTCCCATTATGCACATAAGTAAAGTTAAGTTAGGTATATACAGTAACTCCCTACTTAACGTCCTCTCGCTTAACGTTGTTTCAATCTAACGTCCCTGCTCAATTACAGAACATGCTCCATTTAAAGTTGTGCAGTGCTTCACTATAACGTCGTTTGGTTGCCTGCTTTGTCCACAGCTGGCAGCCCCCCTACCAGCTCCTCTATGCCCCCCCCCATAGCGCCTCCTGCAGACCCCGAGGATCAGTGCCTTCCCCCTCCTCCCCCCGCCTCCTGCCCGCAGCAATCAGCTGGCTTGCAGCCTTCAGGAGGCCGAGGGGGAAGATGAGCGAGGACTCAGCGCGCAGGCTCCCCCTTCCTCCCGAACTACGCAAACCAGCTGATTACCTCAGGCTGGAGGCAGGGGAGGGAGGGGGGAGCCTGCGTGCCGTGTCCTCCCTCCTCTCTCCTCAGCGTTGCAAGCCAGCTGACACATTCCCCATTGCTTTATTTTGGTATAGGAAAAGGAGTTGGCTGCACTCAGGGATACAGGTTCCTCTTGCTGCAGCAGCTGAGTGAGAAGCAAAAGCTGCTTCCTGGATTCTTGGGACTTGCCCTGCAGCAAGCTGAGCCTAGCCAGAGTGCAGCAGTGCTTCTATTGCCAACTCTTTCTGTGGCTGCTCCTCCTATATTGTGGGCTGTAAGGGGAGATGGACTAGAACTGTTCTGGCATCTTTGTATTTCCCAGAGTACCTCCTATTCCCTTAGCCTCTGGAGGGGAGAGGGAGGGGCTAGTTTCAGCTAGTTTACAGTCCCTTTGAACCGACAACGTTTGGAACTGGACCTGTAAAACGTTGGTATTTGAAAACGCACATCTCGTATAGTCAACTAGTTATTTATAAAAAAAGCATAAAAATGCTTGGTGGTTATAAAAAGCAATATCGGTTGGTCAAAGTTAACTCATGTATAGTTCAAGTCAAAGATATTACACAATTAACTTTTAATTAAACATACATATAATACATCAATAAGTACTGGGAGCAGCATGCTCTGAATTTATAGGGCTAATTAGAATTCATGAAATATTAAACTATTAATCAGTGTTTTGTTGACTGCAATATCTAAATTACAGTAAATGACTGTATTATTTAATTAAAACTGTTTGTAGCCTAGAGTCATTTGGTCACATTTTACTTGTAACTAAAAAAAAGGAAGCATTTCATAATTCGTAATCTCAGTTTCTGTATAAATCTGGTAAAAGATTATTTATAAACATTATGGAGTAATTTTAAGACAAGTGTAAAGACAAATATTTTTGATAGTTTATTGGCCATTCATTACCAGTGCCTACATATGCTAGGCTTGTAAACTAATGCTGTACAGTAAGAGGAAAGTAAAAACTGCTGTTGTCCCAATATTTCTCCCTCACATAATTCTCCCCACCAAAATAGTGAAATATTCTGAGTATCTAGAGGTTTAACACTTGCATATTTAGGCCCACATTGTCAGAGATGCAGGCTTTTTCTCAGCTCCTCTGATCACTGGGAGGAGGATGGCTGTCATTGATGCTACCTACCACTGAGTGCCTCCCCAGCTGAGCGATTCTGCTGACAGTTCAGATTATTATATGAGATATACCTATTTCATAGAGCTGGAAGGGACCTTGAAAGGTCATTGAATCCAGTCCCCTGCCTTCATAGCAGGACCAAGTATTGTCCCTGACAGATTTTTTTTTTGGGGGGGGGGAGGGGTGCTCAGATCCCTAAATGGCCCCTTCAAGGATTGAACTCAAAACCCTGGGTTTAGTAGGCTAATGCTCAAACCACTGAGCTATCCCTCCCCCCTCCCCCCCTCTGTGATTGTGGTCACCGAGTGTAGGGGGCAAGTTGTTATTGCTTAGAACAGTTTAGGAAGCTTTGGGAATGGCATTCTTTAGGGGAATGAACAAACATCTAGAATGGCTGGTTCTTAGGTCTTGCCCTTCTGTTGCTACCACACTTCCTTTTTTGGTACTGTCCCTTTCAGCATAAAATAGACTGTAGAAAATGCTAGTGGACATGTGGATTGTAGGATGCTATGGGTGCTATCCTGTGTGCTACCTCTAATCTCACTTTTAACAAGCTTTCCCTAATTGTGCTTCTCTCAGTATTGTACAGTGGAAGGAAAACATATTATCCTTTGTTAAGAATATGGAGCCTGGTTTTCAGAGGTGATAATCACCTATAACCCCTACTGAAGGCAATGGGAGCTGGCAAAGACTCAGCACATTTGAGAATCAGGTCTACTTATTTAAAAGGAAGCCGGAGTGATTTTTAGAAATTGACAGGGAGTGAAATTACTAAAAAGATTGGGAAAGGTAAGTTAATCAGATTCAGGTAGGTTAGTAGTCACTGGTTTGTAAGTTTACCCCTTGATGGAGATCTGTGTTGCTGGTGTGTAACAGGAGATAAGACAATATGAAAGTACTGGTGACAGTTTTGTTGGTAGCTGGCTCAGCTTCAAGAATTCACTTTGCAGAAATAGGATTAAGTGCAATCCTGGCCACTTTCATAATTTTCAGCATGTCAAAAAATTTCTCTGGGATAGTTCTAAGATAGAGATCTGGGGATTTCCACACCAGGGTGTGTGTGTGTGTGTGTGTGTGTGTGTGTAATTTGTGCACGCAGGAGGATTTTAGGGGATTTTAATGAGAATCTCAGTTCTCAAGAGTTAAAAGCTGGGGACTCAACTAAGTAGCTAGAACCCATGGAGGCCCTATCTATACACCAACCACCACCTCTCTCTCTCAGAACCTGACCTATTTTACCATTATTTATGTGCCTCAGGAGAGGTTGAGTGGTCTACATCTGTCTACTCTACACCTATATTGAGGGAGAAGCAGCAAGCCCATTTGCCCCTGCCGGGATAAATGGTGGTATGAGGCATCTCCTACATTCTCTCCACAAGGTGGTGGGGAGGGCCTCAGATTTCTCTTCTATGGTGTGTCTCCTAGGGTCTGAGTGGTTTGGGGTTTCCCCCATTCCCAAGGATCCTCTCTTAGGCACAGCTGCCAACTAATTTGCATCTCCAGGCAGGGCTTTGGAGCTGTGCTCTGGCTCCAGGCAAAAACCTGCAGCTCCACTGCTCTGCACTCCAGCTCCAGGCTCCGCTCCAAAGCCCTTTTCTCCAGGTGCCTGCCTGACTCCTAGGTTATGGATACAAGTCCTTGATCAGTAACAAGGATCATGAACTGCACAGAAATATTAACACCAGTCATTGGAAGAGGAAAGACTAAAAAACAGTCTCCTGGCTTTCAGTTCAGTGGAACCTACCGTGGGTTAAAGGGAAATTGTGCCTTTCACACAAGATGCAGAATTCTTGGTGGGGTCTGCTTACACAAACTTTTGCCTGTTCCCTGCATGTTCCCAATTCCTTGAAAAATCAGCTCCATACTCCCCCACAAATGAATGTGGTCTCTTTCATATTGTTGTGATAATTGGACCTGTAAATTTACCCTAATTATGAACTCAGCTGTGAAAAGTGAGTGAAAGTTCATAAAGTATCACAATAACTTGTAACAACAAATGTTGAGGGGAAAAACTTCAAAGGGGAGACAGACTGAATTATTCCAAACTAAAAGGCCTACAGATAATTCAAGGACTGTGTTAGGATCATGCTTGGTAACCAAGAACAGTGTGAGACCAAAAATCTATCAACCAAAATTGGTGTGTCAGAAATTAGGCTTAATTAGTGGACAAAGTAATGAGGGGATGGACTGTTCTGCCCACCACACCCTTTGTGGGGACCTTAAAGAAATACTGGAGGGAGCTTCACCATCATGGCGGCCATCCCTATTGTTTCCTGGGATCCCAGAACCTTCCTTATCCTGATACTGAAAGAGGTCCTTAATAGATTAGGCCAGAAAGAGGGAGCCAGATGACATGGCCAGCTCAGTCTGAACCACAAACACCACCTGAGATGTGAGAACTTGTCTCCTCTCCCACCCCCAAATGTGTCCTTTTCCCTTCCTGTAAACATGCGGGACTTACCCATGTGGCACCTCCTGCTGGTCATCTCAGAGAATTAGCTCTTTCCAGCAGAGAGCACCCTCTGCAGGCCAGTGTCCCGCTGCCCCCATGTCCCTTTTCCCTGGGGCTGCCCCCTGGCAATACCCCCACCAGTCTCTGGGTCTCCCCTCTCTGGGGAGTCTCCCCAACCCTCTAATCCCCACCTTGCCTCAGTCTGGGCTACTGCCAGTCATCACCAAGCCTCTGCTTCCTGGGGCAGACTGCAGTGTAAAAGCCACTCATCATAGGCAAGGGGGTTCAGACCTGCTGCCTTCCTCTGTCTTCCAGTTCCTCTATGGGCCTTGGACCAGGCCCTGCAGCTTGGGGAGTTGCCAGCCTGGAGCACCCCTGCTCCTCTGGCTCTCCCCAGGCCTGCTTCACTTCTAGTACCCTTACTGCAGGCAGCCAGGCCCTACTCTCTCCCAGCCTAGAGAGAGACTTCTCCTGGGTCTCTGGCTCACAGCCTTTTTATACAGGCCAGCTGTGGCCTGATTGGGGCGTGGCCCAGCTGCGGCCGTTTCCCCAGTCAGCCCAGCTTAGCAGCTCTCAGCCACAACCTTCTCCCAGGGCTGATCTCAAGCCCTTCAGGGCAGGAGCGGGTGACTACCCCGCTACACTTCATTACCTTATTTTTTATCTTTCCTATCCTCTCTCCTTTTTCCTCTGTCTAATAAGAGTCTGGCTTAGGTAGCCAAGACTGCATATTTTGAAACACTGAAAGAAGGAACTAAAGCAATGCCCTAAACAGCCTGATGTTGGAACAAGTTTGCCAGGTCTCAGAGTGGCGGAGCAGACCATGTGCTGTACCTGTGCTTTTCCAGCAGTGAGGCTGCAAGTGAAAGTCAGCACCAGAGACAGAAGCTGCATTTTCTGTTGTTCTCTCCTCTCTCCATTTGTGTGTTTGTCTTGTTTTGTGTTCTAGGAAATGGGATTGGACTTTAATAACAACAGTAACAATGAGAGCTCCAGCCCATCTCAATTAACTTCTTTTCCTCAAAAAGGACAGTTGTTAGTCTCTTAGATGATATTAAAGATTATCTCAAACAAAGGTTTTTTCCCCTATTAAAAGCTCTCTCCAGCTAAAGGGAAAGAACAGGCAGTGCTGTTAAAATAAAAGCCTTATTTAATACTTTACATTTAAAATGCTTTAACTTGTTTTCCCTTTTTTCCCCTATGTCATTAAAAAGGTTGCTAGGTGTTCCTGTGACAAAGCTTCGTATGGGCATTATGAGAGGATATTCTAGATCTGTAGTGGATTATCTCCATATAAATCAATATTACCTAAATCCTTACCACATGTTTTGCATGTGCCCAATTAAAATATTTTCTTTTATACAGTATTTTAATATGAATCTTTACTTTCAGTCACATGTAAAAAATCACATAGCAACACCACCCAATTTTGGATATCTTTTTATGAACTGGGCCCATAATTCTTTTTTAGGTCGAAAATGTGCTTTTTTGTTTCTCATACTCAAGTGAGTAAAAATATTATGGTGAGGATCATGAGCCATAAAAAATATTTTCGTGTCTTAAGACACATCAATCATACCGGCAAGATATTTTATATTCCATTCTCTTCTAAGCAAATACAGCTGAGCTAAAAATTAAAATAGAAAAATATGTATTTCTTTTAAGCTTGTTAAAAGAAAACATTTTTATTTACAAAACAAGTAATATCGTTTTTTTTGCCTTTTTATCGGGGAAGAGGCTTTCTATCACAAAACTCTGAAAACAGAGAGACATAAAAATTATGTGGTTATGATGATTTAATCATACACTGCGGGGTTCTAAGCTTTCACTAGTGTTGCCAGTTGGGAAACTGCCATAACAGCAATAAGACATCTGTAACTGGCTTTACTGCTAGTATGATTTTTTCCCCCAGTTTTATATGTAAATAATTTATGGCCTGTTCCAGTGCCCTTTGAAGTCAATGGGAGTCTTTCCAGGCCATTGGATGAGACCCGTAGGTAGGAACTAAAGGGTAGGCAATTGTACAATTTTTTTTTAAACGGTGTGTAGGATTGCACTGGAGACTACTAGCCATCAGGGAATCCGTGATAAAACAGCAGGGGTATAAATAACTAGGCTGTGGAGGGATAGTAATAGCATATGATAAGACTGACAAATGTTTGACAATATTTGTGGAGCAGTGAGTAAGAACAAAACATGAGCTTACAGGAAACTGCAAGTGGGGAAAATATATTAGGTAAATAACCAAGATCCACAAAGTGTGCCAAAATATAAAAAGGCTTGATATTTAAAGGATGCTTTTTGTGAGTATGTGGTCAATTAATTGGGGATACAAATCCCACCACTCAGATGTCACAAATATGTGCTTTCTTGGTGTGGTTTGGTACTTAAGTGCCTACATAGTAGGATATCCACAAACAAAGAGACCAGTGCAGAAAATCTCCAAAAATTTAAAATTCATATGCCTGAGCCTGCAAAGGTCCATAGGTTTAGTTCTATGAAAACTGTTTGCCTCATGCATGATTTCCCTGACTTGAGATATAGTTACTGTGTCACCTATATCATGCAATATTAAATATATATAGTCAGAAGGAGAAGATTTGCTTTAGTGTTCAGTCAATTACACCGACTTATGTTGTTGTTAATGATTTGTATTACAATAGTGCTTAGAGGCCCCAACCAAGTTTGGGAGGCCCTGTTATGCTAGGTCGGATGCATCCAACGAAGTGGACGTTCACTCACGAAAGCTTATGCTCCAATACATCTGTTAGTCTTAAAGGTGCCATAGGACTCTGTTGCTTTTTAGTAAAAGATAATCCTTCTCCTCTTTGAGTTAACAGTTTCAATAGACAAGACAGAAAATGGTGGGAGGGGAAGTCGATGTACATCTACAGTGCAATAAAAAATCCATGATACAGAGTATCAGAGCCTGAATCAGCTGTCTTGGGCTGTAAAAATTGCAATGTAGACATTTGGGCTCAGGCTGGAGCCGGGGCTCTGAAACTCTCCCCACTCATTGGGTTTCAGAGCTCAGGCTTCAGCCCAAGCCCGAATGTCTATATTGCTATTTTTAGCCCCACGGCCCAAGCCCTGCAACCCAGAGTCAGCTGACCTGGACCAGCTGCAGCTGTGCTGTGGGTCTTTTATTGATGTGTAGATGCACCCATAGAGGTGAAGCACCTAATTCCAGTTGATTTTCAGTGGGGCCTAGGCTCCTGTGATAGAGAAGCTTTTGAAACAGGACTGAGGGTTCCAAATCTTTGAAAATTTTACTCAAAATGACTCATCTGTGGTTATATAGCTAGGAATAGTCTCCTGATGCATACAAAATAGGAAATGACTGCTTAGGAAGGAGTACTGCAGAAAGGGATCTAGGGATCATAGTGGATCACAAGCTAAATATGAGTCAACAGTGTAATACTGTTCCCAAAAAAGCTGACATAATTCTGGGATGTATTAGCAGGAGTGTTGTAAGCAAGACACGAGAAGTAATTCTTCCACTCTACTCCGTGCTGATTAGACCTCCACTGGAGTATTGTGTCCAGTTCTGGGCACCACATTTTAGGAAAGATGTGGACAAATTGGAGAAAGTCCAGAGAAGAGCAACAGAAATTATTAAAGGTCTAGAAAACATGACGGGGAAGATTGGAAAAAAATGGGTTTGTTTAGTCTGGAGAAGAGAAGCCTGAAAGGGGACATAACAGTTTTCAAGTACATAAAGGTTGTTACAAGGAGGAGGGAGAAAAATTATTCTCCCTTATCTTTGAGGATAGAACAAGAAGCAATGGGCTTAAATTGTAGAAAGGGCGATATGGGTTAGACATTAGGAAATACTTCCTAACTGTCAGGGTGGTTAAGCACTGCAAAAAGTTACCCAGAGAAGTTGTGAAATCTTTTTTTAAGGTCAAGTTAGACAAATACCTGTCAGTGATGGTATAGATAATACTTAGTCCTGCCATGAGTGCAGGGGACTGGACTAGAAGACCCCTTCCAGTCCTACGAGTCTATGATTCCCACTCCAGTGGCCTAGCCACAGGACCATGCTGTCCCTCCCCAACTGACATTAACCTAAAGTTTTAATATTAAGATCATGATGCAGGGTCCTCAACCTATGTTGTTTAAGAGCTGGGCCTTGCACCGTGAACTTAATATTGATAGACTAGTCAGACCAATGTTGGAGTGAATTTTAGTCTTTCACTTGCAGTGCCTTAGCAACATCTCCTTGATGTTTAAATTTGTGGTCAGGTAGCTTGAACTCCATAGCTGATTGCAACAGCTACTGCTGCATGTGAGGGGAGAGGCAATCTCTCTGGTATTTAAAGAATAAGGCAAAATTTCTGTATGGATGTTTATAATTGCAGAAGAAACTGAAAATAATTAGTCTATTAATTAAATGGTTTCATTTGCTCATTTGAATGAAATGGCTGCTGTAAAGGTACTTTTTTGTAGCGAGAGTAACAATAAAAGGAGGTTATGATTTCCCCCACCCAGTTTAAAGATGGAGCCGAAGACCAAAGGATTAAAACAGCAACAACAGCAACATAAGAAGCTACTGGCTGCCATGCTTTCCCAGGACTCTTTTGATTCTGTTCAAAGCACAGCTCCCTCAGTGACAGAAGAAGATATTGACAATGAGGATGATGCCATGGAACTGCTAGGTAATTGAAAAAGTTAATTCACGCAAGTATTTTTTCCATACTGTTTCCAATGTTGTATAAAGTATAACAAGATTGAGCCAAATTCTGCTTTCTGGAATACAGATGTAAATCTGTAGAAGCATAGAAGTTAAGGGAGTTATTGCAGGCTTACATCAATAACTTAAAAATATATATAGGAGAGAAATACTAACTCTAAGTCTAAGGGAGCACTCTAGCTGCAACTGTCCATTGTAAAATACCAAAGGTCATAGGTGTTTAAGATAAGGTAATTTCTTTCATTTTCTCCTCCTAAAAAACATTTGAAAGCTTTCATTGATAGAAGTACAAGATACAGTGGACAAGTCTGTTTTACATGCTTTCTCTGGTTAATTTTTACCCTGTCAGATCCCAGTCCTGTCTTCAGTGGGAATTTTGTCTGAGTAGTCTAACTAGCTGCAAATAGAGGGGAAAATGTAAATTTGACTTATTGCACTGGTTTTAATTATACTTTTCCAGTAGACTGGATTGTGTTTTAAATGGTATTTTAGGAATCTGTGTCCTCAGCAGGGGCACTGGAACTGGAGGCTGGGGCAGGGGGCCATGGCCCCACAACTTTTTATGTTCCTTAAGGGTGAGCGATGGGGAGAGGGAGAAGAGATGAGAGAGCAGGGGGAGGGGCCATGGTTCAGGCACCAGTGGGGGTGTGTGTCCCCCACTTCTAAGGAGTTTCTGGCATTCTTGGTCCTTAGTACATCCCCTCTCCCTTTCTGGAGTTCTTTACTGTCAATCAAGTGAAAGAAGGGAATAATACAAGACAGTTACTTACTCCCTTCCTTCCATTTTTTTAAATGCTCGATCTTGAAACGGTCAAAAGGAACCATTGTCTTCAATATTTCTATATGCTTCATTTTACATAATAAACCTTTTATGAGGGATCAGAGTAGATGAATAATGTTACCTTTTAAGGATAGCTCAACCGTATATTTTAAAAGCACTATAATGAATTATTTATTTAGGAAAAAATCTGAGCTACAGAATAAAGCACAGAAAATAAAAGGACAAGCAGCACTTTATTCTATAGACTGGCTCCATGATTACATGATTGCTGTATAAATTATGTTGCAGTTACTTAGTTTTTACATTGTGCACATTGCATGGTAATTTAATGTATAATTCCCATGTACTGTAATTTCTAGTTTTGTTATCACTGTACCATTTTAATTTACAAGGGAGACAGTATTAATGGGCTTGATTACCCCAGCTCAAGGAAAACAACGCAGGAATGGGCTAGGCACATTGTGGTGTTTCCACCAAATCATTCTATTGTGGATGTGGATTTGCTGCTCCATGGAATGGGTAGGTGGTTCCAGCACTTGTGTTGTGAAGGATCTGCTGAAGGGTAAGTATGAAACCTGGATAGATACAGCAATGAAGTAAACACTCAGAGAAACAGAAAATCCTTAAAATGAAGAACTAGATAAAGCTTTTAGCATCGGGTTGTACGTTTTTGTGACTTTCCTATGGAAGGTATTTATTCTCCATTTCATATATGCACGAACTACAGAAGCACTTTTAATTCAGGATTCTGTATTTTGTTTTAGGCATTTTTATGCATTGGTGTTTGATTGAAATACTTTATTGTTAATTATATATACACTGAAACTTCATGCATCTTGGAAGCACAAAATAAAACACAAATAAGCTGCCAAGTGGTGGGAGAAGACTTTTCTTTGGCATCCATACAGTATTAGGTATACTTTTTTTTAAATATTTCTTTTCTATAATAGCCCTGTTACCTCAACAAACCTAATTCACTATTGATAGGGCCTGATCATCTTGTTAGTTGGCTTGGGAGATGCATAAATTAATCATCTTGCAGGATCGAACTGATAGAGGGAGAGTTTTGAAACAATGGTTCCATATTCCTTATACCAGCTTTCTGTTTTAATTCTCATTTTGTGTTGACAGGACAAGTTTTAGATTAAATATAAATGTAGGGATTACATTGCTGCAGAATTGCTCAAACTTTGGGACTGTGAAAAAATGTCATGCTGTAAAAAGCATCTTATTTTATTTTGAAGCTAACGGCACAGAGTTTAAATTTCTATCAGCAAACATAAGTATTTTTCATTGTTGTATTTTCCAAATCAGTGACTGTACAATAACAGGAGTGAATTTTTATATTATATTGTGTATTAATCCATTAACTGCTTTAATGTTTTTTACACATCTAGCATAGCACCTTTCCAAGCATGGTTTTCTGCCATCACTCAGTTCCAAAACATAGTTTCATATAACTGACATATTCCCTTTACAATTCACTCTTTGTTGCTTATTCATGCTCTTCACAAAAATTACAAAACCTTATGCCCCACAGTTTACATCTTGGAAGAACAACTTCTACTACTAGTAATAAATTACTTAAAACAATATCCTGTTTATAATGTAGCTTTTCAGCTGGACAGTTGGTGACCAGAACAAAGGATCAGTCTTTACTCATTCAAAACTCTCATTGAAATCTGAGAATTTTGACAAAATGAACTCTGCAGGATTTGGCTTAGACTTTCTAAATGTGGATTGGCTGAGATAAAGAATATTATTGTTCAAATGTACTGGTCTTCATTTACACATGGTTAGTAAAAGTATGGGATTGTTTGTTACCCCAAGAACATACTGAAGGATCCCAGAGTAGCCCTTCTATTGCTTACTTCCAGGTTCCCAAGACGTTGGCCTATTAATCTGTTCCTGCAAGGTGAAAGGAGGGGGCCTGCCCTTGTAGAATTGCTTGGGTTTACCAAGGGTCTCCTTCTGCCCTTCAGGAAGCTCTCCAGAACAGACTAGATCTGGTCACCCTTGGGAGAATACGGATACAGCCCTCCGCTCAAAGGATTGACACCGAGGCAGTACTTTTCCAAAACAAAATGTTTTCTTTATTTAGTTTAACCAATCTTTCCTAATACAATTAATCTAAAGCTAAATTAAAACATAAACATAAGTCCCTTAGTACAGGTATACAAGCTAAAGCACCCAATACTGTAATGTTATACAGTTGGAATTGCTTAAGTGATTATGTTCTGCACATGGTGATCAGTCACATGCAGGATACTGACCGTAATCTTAATAAACTTTAATCTTTATACATAGTCATATAAACATACACACCACAGACACTCATCTTTATTATCCCAAGCATATACATTCATTAACCCTATTTCTATTCTATATCCTATACTATAGCTAGCATGCTGTAGGCTTCTCTTCCTCTGTTCTGTCAGGGTCCTTCTGCTCTGTCCCAGCAGCGCTGCTGCTGCTGTCACCCTGTGGTTGCTTCTTCTGATTCCTTTGCTCTTTTAGGTTTCTTTTGATCTTTTTTCTGGTTCTCCTTCTCCTGCTCCTAACTTGATTGACTTCTTCCTGCTTGCTCCATCTTTTGTTCAATTTTTGGTCTGTTCTGATTGGTTATTGTTGAGATGAATCTCAATTCTCAGGCACTTAGAACTTACTCCATATGATACTGAGTTTAAAACAAAACAAAACACCCAACAAACTATAAACTAACAATGAGAAACATCTGAAGTTGAACCCTCTTCACATGGATTTTGTCCTCAACTCTTTTACCATTTGCTCCATTTGTTCTCTGCGTTTTAGCCAATCTTTATTGTGCACAGAAACCTTCAGCATAGCACAGAGGAGTGGCTGGAGCTGTTAGAGGGCACAGCTGGCCTATCAGCAGTGGAAATCTCTAACTGGATTTCATGTTGTTCTGCATAGCAGTGAAGGCTGACATTATAGTCCTTAGATGACTCAGCCCTTAGCATCACAGTCCTCGTTATGTTGGATTGAGATAAATGTGAAAAATTTGGACATTCCCAGTAGGACTGGAAGTTTTAGCAGCCATGCAAATAAAATGATGTATGTTCTCATGTTTTCTACATGGATAATCTTTTAAACCTTATACCAGACATCCAAAACAAAATGGAGAGCTCTTCAGTTTCTATACAGACCTTTGTTAGGCTTCTAATGACAAATTGTGTGTGGGAAAAGTCATCCACTTTTGGCCGTTCTATTTGTCTAGAATTCTTCTCATCCTCCTTTTTAAAGTAGATTTCACCAGCTCTTAGCCTTTTCAGTTCACTTTTATCACAGTGGACAGTATATCACCCTAGATGCTCAAACCATTATTAATTATTAGAAAGGCCTCTCATTAGTGAAAATAAAATGCATACATTCTCAGGCTATTTGTATTGTTGTAGGTTATTTTTGTCCTTGTCGTACTATGACCCCGTTGTGCTAGGTACTGTGCCAATGCATAAATACACTGTGTTACCAAGGGTGATAAAAAGAATTAAAAAAATACACCATTGGCTGAAAAATAACTAAGCCCCAATGCTGCACTGATAGCCAAGTGGATGGACCATTGTTCTTACACGGAAACCCATAGGGCCCACCTGTGCAGATCCAATTGTAGGATCTGACCTTAAGGCTGGACCATAATTATTTTGTGTTATTTAAAAAAAAACATAGTATCTGATTTTGAGAAGTTGTAAAGAGACAAGCAAGGTTGTGAAATTTGAAAGGAAATTTGAAATTTTTATTTAAAATTCATAATTTTGGATACTTTAAGTTTTTATCTGTTCTATAGTCTACAGTAAGGAGCTTGATGTAACTAATAACTGCCATTAAATCTTTAGGCTTTTTTTGCTGTTTAATGAAATAAATTAAGTGTTATGACTTGGATCAAGCAATTACTAAAGCAAATAGTGATCTTTTTATGCTAATATGGTCTGTATGTAAATGGCTAAGATGGGTAAATCAGTGGGGTCATTCATCTTTTGTTTCATGTGTAAACAGGTAAGGTGAGAGAACATCTCAAAATATAACTTTTGACCTCATATAGTATTTCACTGTAATCTTAACTATTCAATTGAATGTAGTATTAATAACACCTGGCACCAATACATTAGGTTTCAAGACTGGTGTTTAAAGGTATGCCATCCGCTTGGAAAAAAAAGACTAAATCTGCCACTCA